CTAGATGTAGACATGTCTTCAGACAAGACAGACACTGAGTTTGAGTCTGACTGTGATCTTGTAGATGTTAGTAGTGACAGTGATGAATTCGAGAACTAATCGTCAAAATAAGTTTATATTTAAGTTAACATTATTTCAGTTTTACATTGAGTAAAGTTAACATTTATTACAATTTTATTTGGTTCTGTTGACAAATATACCAGGTAACATGCTATAAACTTTTGGCAGTTCAAAAATAAAAATGGCAGGCAAAAAATTATTTGGCCTGCCAAACAAAAATTAAAATGGCAGGCCATATATTTTTTCTATTTCGATCCCTGATTTGCAGATAACTCAGTTATCTGCTAGCAGATAACTGAAATTTTGTGTAGGTTACGTGTGTAGGTTGTGTAGGTTACAAATTGCTTTTACCAACTACAATGTATAATAATTCTAATTATATTGTCAAGGAAGCGAACTTGAAACATTCAAAACTCCAGAAAATATGAGGGATGCACGTTACTCAGTGTTGAGAGAAATCATGAATACTAATGAGAAGGTGGGTTATTTTAGAACTGATAACAGATTATGGCATAAATTATTGGTAGCATAACTTTCTCTAATTTACACAACTGAACAAAACAACTGTTTGCTATGAGGAAATTCCTTTAAAGCTTTTCATGGTTCACTCACGACTTGTTACTACAGCTTCGCGCATGCTGAATTGAGGGAGGAGTCATTTATTGGCGGATGAGGGCCGGTAAAATTTCATATAGGGGAGTCCAACAATAGTTAACCCCTTTCAAATATAAGCCTCAAAGAATTATGAACCTCCCCAAAAGTAATTCTTTAATTTACAATTTGTCACTATGAAGTTCCGATATTTTCGAGATGATTTTCGAATTTATTGCATTTGTTTTATCATTGCATGATTAATGGTAAGAAAATTGGAATTTCACCAGTTAAGCCCGGTGTCAACCGAAATCAGTTGAGGATGAGAGTACACGAGAGTTGGCAGTCACACGATCTTGGTTACTTGGTTAGTTGTTCTTATAAAGATTTTCCAACACAAAAACATACTGATTAAAACATACAAATTTTATTTCAAGATCACAGGTTCTTTTGCATATTCAGTAACAGATCTAGTGGTCTGTTGAAGATTGGAAATACCCTCCTCCCCATTTAGTAATTCACCTTCACTTTTACTGAACTCATCCGTCGTCAGAATCTCCGCGGCGTTGTCGACATCATTAGGTGTATAAAGGCGCCCTAGTAATGTCCACTGTAATGCCGTTACTGATGGTAATAGAATACCAAGCCTTTGTGAATTCTTCAACCATTTACTGCAACTGATCTAGCTGAGTTCCCACAGGGTGGAAATCAACAAATGTCACGCGCATTCAAAAAAAAAAAATAAAACGATTGAAATTATCGTCAAATATCAAGTGTTCCATGATTTACTATATATTACAGTACCATGCACAACCCATGCATACACCTTACCATATCATATCATATCATGCCATTCCATATACTATGACAACCTACAATATATACCATACCAATTACCATACTACCTCCCCTTGAGAATATTCAAATGATTGAAACTTAACAGTGTTGCTATGGTCTACACTTTGTTAAAATTGAAAAAATGATAGCCATCCATCTCTGTGTCATGTACTTTTTAATGTCATATTTCCAAAGAAATTTTGTGCTGATATAACGAGTTGCAAAATTGGAAATGTTAGTTGATCTTAGGCGGCCACCTCCCCCAGCATTTTCACCAAAATCCGACCTTGACTTGCATTATACATTGTACTGATTACACCGTACCATATGCTGTGTATTTTTCCGTACGACGCCATATAATATCATAATAGGATTTATTAGACATAGTGATTGATACAGTATATATCATCAGTTGCAGGAAGCTCTAACATACAGTGATAAAAAGATGTCTGCCGTCCCCGATTTATTTGGAGATGATCCAAAGGTTTGTTGATATATTGTTAGTATCTGTTATCATAGAGTATCTGTTATCGTGGAGAAAGTGATTCATATCAGTATCAGCAAGTTGTGTCTTGCCTGAAATAAAAATAGGTTGTTATTAACTTTGAGCGAATCCATGAAAATTGAAAAAAATATTAAATATTTAAATTAGTATGTGTGTCAATATAAATCAGAACACAATCTTAAAATTATTGCCATAGCATTCGTAGGCTATAAATTAAGCTTTATATTGCATGAAATTAGATCTAAAGAACTAAGATTTCCAGCTACAAAAGGTGACCATATGTTGGCAACCTAACTCGCCCCCGCTACTGGTAACCGCTGCAAAGAATTGCCTCGTTATATTAATTAAATCCTTGCATGTATTTCCCGAGATTGTCCTGATTTGAATTTGTCCTGGCTTTATCCAGCGCTTATTTTTTGGGGCGTTGACATAAATCCGTTCGAAAACAGACTAATTTGAATTGGTTGTCTTTTAAAATGACTAATTTGAATTGGTTGTCTCAGATCACCAATATTTGATCCATACAACCGAAAAATTGGTTTAAATAACCGAATTTTTGGTTGTTTTAACCAATAAAATGTTGGTCAAATACGTACACCTGAGACAATCAATTCAAATTGGTTATTCCAACCAATCTGTTTTTTTTAAATGTGAATTAATGTTGCCACTTATAGAAATACCGCGGCTTCCCAAATATCACCTGTGCTCCAGGGCACAGGCGAGAGAATGATTCGGAAACAGTGCGAAAACTAGCATTCATGAAAGAAGCATCCGTTGGAGCCTCGAACTTGGATATTTTGAGTGAGACTGTCATGGATGGAACTGCTTTGAATGATATATCTGAGCTTCAGCAAAATACTGGTAAATATTAAGCATGATTGCTCCTCTTGTAATACATGTACCTAATAAGTATAGTTTATTAGACTTGGTAATTTGCGTACGTTTTGTTGTTACTGTAACTTTATAAATCCAATTTATACTAGCAAGTCATTTTTAGTTTGCTATTAAACAGTGGCGGAAATTTTTGGGATTTTTTTTTTTTGGGGGGGGGGTACATAGCCACACATAGCATATAGCCACATTTTGTTCTGCTTTCGTGGTTGAAAACTTTTTGTTGCAGCTTTGTGACTTTGTGACAGTTATTCAGTTATCAGTGAAAGGCTTTCTGAAATTATTGGGTGTGAGAGGAGGGGAGTGCCCTCCCCCCATGTCCGGCACTGCTATTAAAGAGTACAGTACTGTAGCCGGAACGGTTTTTTACCTCCAGCCATTTAATCAGTCAGCCTTGGTGCTGGATGTGTTTAGTACTCTTTGAAAAAATGTTTTGTGCTCTAGCTGTAACGGCATCAACCTATTAGGGCTTACTGTGGCCGAATATTTTTTATTTCCATTTCCTCAGATGAAAACAACAACGAGCAAAGTTTGCCCAGTAATCGCCAGTCTAAACATGATTCAGTCATCACGTCATCCACAATGCAAAACTCGTGTTCGTCATCAACCAGTTCAACCTTACTTGGTGGTGCTGAAAGACAGAACGAAGGTGAGTTGAGAACGAAAAGCCTGAAGTGCATTTCGCGAAATATCGGAGGAGGGGTAGAATTTGGTTAACAACATATCACCACCGGCCCTTTTGTTGAGGACTGTGCATTCAGTTTCCGCAATCTCAAATATTTAAGCCTGGTTTCCATATGGTCGTAATGGTCGTAAAACTAGAGTCACGATCGTTCTCAACGGCCAATTTATAATAGTTTATTCCTGTAAACCACATATAAATCATAAGTATTCTCTAGTTATATAACCACTCCGCGTATTTTCAGTTCTAAAATGTTGTATTTTGGCTGATGAGAAAGATCGTGACTTAATCTTTACGACCATTACGATCATCTGAAAACAATGCTTTAGGGTCGCCGGAGCAACGGGGACAGCTGCCCAAACGGCGTGGGGGCGGCACGGGGGCAAGATGTTACTGGCTCTAATGCAGGTTGTAAAAACATTGTAAAATCTATTGATTAGGGGAATTAGAAGTCGGGTAAATTATGATGACGCTACTCCGAGTGGTTCCACACCAGGCAAGCTAAAATTTGTTGGACAGATCAGAGCTAGGGGTCGAGCCCGCGATCTTTGGTTTGCTAGTCCAAAGCTCTACCAACTGAGCTATACTCTTAGTCAATAGTTAAAATTCTACTCGATTTTTAGAACATTGCATGCTTATAACTATTTCATCGAACTATGAGCATATTATTCCAATTTAAAGGTAAGAAGCCTATTCCTGAAAATTGTGATGCTCAAACAGAAGAGAAAATATTTCACGAAACAAAGATGTAAGAATTTTCAGAACCACTGAGTATTTTAACAAAAAACAAAACAAGTGTAACTCCAAAAATCGATAACATTTCTATATTTATCAACGTTTCGACTATATATTTCAGTCATCATCAAGAAAAACAGTTTATCCTGATGATGACTGAAATATAGTCGAAACGTTGATAAATATAAAAATGTTATCGATCTTTGGAGTTACACTTGTTATATAAAGATGTAAGATTTTGCGAGATTTTCCACACTTTGTTTAAAACTGTATTTTATTTATTTTTTGTGCTTATCCATGGTGGGTTACAATCCAGTACTATGTAGTACACGCTATATTATGTTTATAGTCGTAAAGAAGATCAGGGAAAAAAAGCTGTTAAACCGCCACGAACAGCACCAGCTCTGAAAGGATTACATGATTTACGCGAGGTGCGTATTTTAAATCGCATATATATATATATATATATATATATATATATATATATATATATATATATATATATATATATATATATATATATATATATATATATATGCGCTATGTTGTTGCCTAGCCCTAGGATATATAAAATACAAGCAAAACTTCGATGTTTCTAGTGAAGGCCCTTATTCTGGAAGTTAGATTTGTGGAAGTACACAGTGTAAAGCAAGCTCTATCTGTGCTTAATTAAGATTTCAAGTTCATTTAACCATAGACAATCCAGACGACATGTTTTTCGGATTGTCTATGATTTAACCAATTGAGTGGCATTTGAAACCTAAAGGACTTTACAATGTTATAACATAGTATGATTATGATTTTTTCTGTGTTGGTGTATTATTATTATTATTATTATTATAAATTTCCAAACTAGCAGTAACAACTGAATTACTTTGGAATTACAGGGTATAAGAACATAGGTATTTAATCTATTCTATATTTACAGGTAAAAATAGGTAAGTTAGATAAAAATAACGATAATAATCTAAAGTTTACTTATTATTATAAGCACGAGACGCAGCAGGAATGAAACTGTTCGAAAACGTTCAGTTCTACACCTAGGTACTAATAAGTTGGGATAAGACCTCAGATTATAAGTTTGAAGACTTTTAGGCGGTACTAAGGCATTCAGTTTATGAGTGGGTTCCAACATCTTCGAAAAAAGTCGCTTGCAAAGGACAGTTCTACGTTCGTAAAGAGTCATCAAATTAGCTTTAAGCAAACATTCAGCATAGATAGTTCCAGGGAAAATAATTTTTAATGCCCTTTTTTGTATTTTTTCAACTTGATCACTCAGGTAATGAGGAAGGCCATAATGCCACACCTGACAAGCATATTCGACAATTGGTCGAATATGTGTACAATAGGTAGAGATCAGAATATGAGAAGGTAAAGCATTTCTTTTAAGAAGGCGCAGACCGTACAAACGCTTCGCGGCTTTCTTGCAAATGTAGTCAATATGGCAGTTCCATTTGAGGTCGTCCGAAAGGACAACGCCCAATAGT